AGAGCTTGCGGACGACGCGCGCGAGCGCGAAGATCGCGCGGAAGGCGAGGCGCAGCGGCAGCGACACGAGGAAGGCGAGGCCGTCCTTGGCGGCCTCGCGGAGGCCGGCGACGCGGGCGGCCGTCGCGCCGAGGCCCTTGACGCCGCGCTTCACGACGCGCTGGCCGTAGCGCCGCGCGGCCCAGGACGACGCGCACTTGCCTTTCGCGACGAGGAGCTTGCGCGCCTGGCGGCGGCGGCGCGCCTCCTCGGAGAAGACGAGGGCCGCGACGGGCCGGAGGACCGCGAGCAGCGCGCCGACGAGGACGCCGTTCGTCTTCACGGGGTTGCCCGGCGAGTTGGCCTTGGAGCCGCCGACGCGCAGGCGCTTCGCCGCCGGCGCGGCGGCCGCCGCGGCGCCGTAGGCGCCGACGGCGAAGAGGTCGACGGCGAAGGGCCCGTCGCGGAAGTTCTCGACCGTCGCCGTGCCGTCGGCCTTGGCCGCGGCGAACTTGGAGAGCGTGAGGCCCACGCCGTAGACGCTCGCGCAGTCGTCCGCCGCGAGCGGCGGCGCGCCCTCGACGAGCCGCGGGCCGCGCACGAGCTTGAAGGCCTCGAAGGGGAGCAGCGTCGGCGCGCCCCGCGCGCCCGCGCTCGGCGCCCACTCGGCGCTGTGCACGACCTCGCCGCGCGACGCGCCCGTGCGGATCGTCATCTTCCAGGCGCGGCGCGCCACGTCGTCGTCGCTCACGAGCGCCGCGTCGACGTAGAGGCCGTCGTAGCCGCTGAGGTCGAGCGGCGCCTCGAGCGTCGCCGTCCGCGCGCCGCAGAAGCCGCCGCCGTCCGTGCGGACGATGCCGCGCCACTCGCCCCGGGCGTCGCCGGCGACGACCTTGGACGAGGACACGCCGCCCATGACGACGTCGTCGATGCGCTCCCAGAGGTCCGCCGCGTCGGCGGGCGCCGCCTCGAAGTCGAAGATGGGCGCGAGCGTCTGCTGCGGCGGCGCGACGGGACCGCTCCAGGACCAGCGCTCGGCGGGCCGCGCGGTCGCAGCGCTCCTCGGACCTCTTGCAACCGCTCCGGGAGGCAGCGCTGCGCCGAGGCGCGGTTGCGGCGCGAACGCGCTCGCGCAAGAGGCGATAAGCAGCGCTGAGCTCGCCATGGCGACGTTGCGCTGGCCCATCTTGCTGCCGTGGCAAGAGCACCGTCGGCGATTTGGTGATGTTACCCCCCGTGTTGCCGTCGCTGCCCCGTCTCGGAAATCAGCACAGCCAGGCACGATGGGCGTCCTCCCCGAGGGCCCCGACGCGTGGGAGAACATCGTCTCGAACACGACGTCGAAGAGCGCCAACGAGGCCAAGGAGGCGCGCGAGGCCGCCGTCGCCGCGAAGAAGGAGCCGCGGCTCGTGCGGATCGCCGCGGCCCAGTTCCAGGTGGGCAAGGACGCCGCGAGCGCCGTCGCCGCCTGCTGCAACGCCATGCAGCAGGCGCGGGCCGTGTCCTGCGACCTCGTCGTGCTGCCCGGCCACGCCAAGGCCATCGGCACGGAGCCGCTCGACGGCCCCTTCCTCAAGGGCGTCGCCGCGGAGGCGAAGCGGCTCGAGATCGCCGTCGCCGTCGCGCTGCACCTCACGGACGGCGTCGGCGTCGTCCTGCTCGACAAGAAGGGCGCGACGCTCGGCGTCCAGTACGGCGCGAAGAACGCCGAGGTCTTCGACCTCCACAAGTTCGGCGGCAAGGTCGTCCTCAAGACCGGACAGCACGCCGCGGGGCCTAAGGACCTCGCGGGCGCGGAGCTCGTCATCCAGTCCCTCAACGCGCCGGGCGCGTGCTGCATCGCCGACGACGCCGGCGCGGCCATGTCCTCGGGCGACAAGGCCAAGCCCTACGACCTCGTCTTCGAGGACCTCGAGCCCGCGAAGCCCCACTACAAGAAGAAGCACGCCTTCCTCGTCGTCGCCGCGCCGGCCAAGTAGGCCGGGCGCCCGCTCCTACTAGTAAAAATCCGCTTACGGGGCCTGGAACACGACGACGACGACGGTGACATCGTCGTTGGACACGTCCCGCGAGTCCGCGGCCTTGCGCTTCGCGTCCGCGGCGAGGTCCCGCGCGGCGGCCGCGACGGCCTCCGGGGCCGCGTCGTCGCCCAAAGCGCCGAGCTTCGCCGCCACGAAGGCGCACGCGGAGCGCTCGTCGTGGACGTGCCAGAGGCCGTCGGACGCGACGACGAGGAACGCCGCGTCGTCGCCGAGGTCCACCGTGCGCACGTCCGGCGTCGCCAGCAGGCAGCCCCCGACGTGGTGCGCCCGGTCGCCCAGGGACCGCGTCACCTGGAGGAGGCCCTCCGCGCCGTCGACGCCGACGTACGCGCCCGCGATCGTGCCGCCCGCGGCCTCGACGCGGTCCCGCTCGCTTTCGCTGTTCTCCGCGTTGTGGTCGCTCGTCAGGGCCTCGGCGCCGCCGTCGCGCCGCGCGAGCGCGGCCCGCGAGTCGCCGACCCAGGCGACGGTGAGCGTCGACCCCTCGACCCTCAGCACCGTCGCCGTCGAGCCGCCCTCGGGCGGCAGCAGCTTCGGCGGCGCGAAGCCGTGGGCCGCCTCGAAGGCGTCCCACTGCTCCTTGACGTCCCTGCCGACGGTGTCGTCGTAGCGCCGGTCGTGCCGGTCCTGGAAGCGCTCGAAGAGCCGCGCGAGCGACTCGCCCGGCGAGAGCACGGCGTCGAAGGTCGTCTCGAAGGCCGCGTCGACGACGATGGCGCACGCCTGGTCCGCGACGTCCCGGCCCCAGTTCGACGCGCCGGCGACGCCGTGGCCGTCGAAGACGCCGACGACCAAGACGTTCCCGTCGACGTCGAGCGCGCGCTCGCGGGAGCACACGGCGAAGCGGTCCATGTCCGCGCGCGCCGGGTCGACGGCGGCGCCCCAGGCGCGCACGCGCCGCATGGCCAGCTCGCCGCAGCCGCCGCGCTTGCCCACGCAGCGGCTGTCGACGACCTTGGGCGACGCGGCGACCTTGCGGGCGGAGAAGGTCTTGGGCAGCAGCCGCGTGAACGTGCGGCTCGGCGTCAGCGAGCCCCGCTCGTCGCTCTGGTAGCACGACTGGAGGATGCCCATGTTTCTACACGCTATGAGGGTGGAAGGAGCAGTTTTAGGCCTGCCATCATCGCACAATTGCCGCTTCACCTAATCTTCACCTAATTGCTCATCTTAGGGTTGCACACAAGCGTTGCTGTCCGCCCGCCGTCGCCGCGCCGCTCGACCTCTCCGATGGCGTACCAGGTGCGCCGCCGGCGCCGCGACGAAGAGACGGCGCTTTTGAAAAGCCCGCGCGCGAAATCCACGCCGAAAAAAACACGCCGCGCCCCGCCGCAGACTCCCGACAGCAAGAAGGAGGAGTTCCGCAAGTACCTCGAGAAGTCGGGCGTCATCGACGCGCTGACGAAGGGTGGCGGCCGGCGTCCGGAATGGTGTGTGCGCCCGCATGTATCTGTTCGTTGTTTGTCTCTGTTCGCGCGCGCGCGCTCGCGCGGTCGTCGGGTCGTCGACGACGTCGCCGCCCCCCCCGCGCAGTCCTCGTCGGCCTCTACGAGGAGCCGGAGCGGCCGCCCAACGCCGTGGACTACATCAAACGCTACATGGGCGCGCCGACGGGCATCGACGTCGAGGCGCTGCGACAGGAAAACGAAAACGCGCGTCGCGCGGCGTCTCGTGTCGATTCCTTCTCGCCCCTGCCCTGTGTGCCCGCGTCGGCGGCGGCCGCCGCGCGGCCGTGGTTGACCGCCGCCTGTCGCGCACCAGCTTTTCGACCCCCGCGCTTTCGCGCCCCCCGCGTTCGCGCGCTTTCGACGCCGCCCCCCGCGCAGCTTCGGAAGGAACGCGAAGACCTCCGTTCGACGATCGACGAGTTGAACGCGCGGCTGACCGAAGACAAGGGCGACGACGCGTGAGCCCGCCGAGGCGCGGTCCCGGGCGGCCGGCACCCCCGGCGACGCGCGCGCCTCTCTTTTCCACCAAGCATCCTCCCTGTAACCACCTCTCCTTTCGACTTTCCCGGGACTCCGCGACAGGACGGCGAGCTCTCGTGAACTCACCCTTTACTGCCCCGGCGGCGGGTTCTCGTAGTCGTCGTCCTCCTCGAGGTCCTTGTCGAGGCCGATGGGCGCCATGCGCATGCCGCTGCGCTTGCCCGGGACCTTGCCCATGGCGACGACGCGCCGCGACGGGTCGCGCGTCGAGTCCGTGCGGAAGCCCTCGCGCATGCCCAGCTTCGCGCAGAGCCAGCGCGCGTCGCCGTTGCGCTCCGGCGGGAACATGAGCAGCGTCGCCAGGCCCCAGGCCTCGGCGACGTCCTCGAGGTGGAGGCAGAGCTGGTGGGCGAGGCCGTTGCGGCGGAGGCCCGGCTTGACCAGGAGGTGATTCAGCACGGCCGCGAGGCTCTCGTGCTCCATCAATTCCGCGTCGCCGTCCTCGAGCGGCCGCACCTCGCGCGTCGCCGCGCTGAAGGCGACGACCTCGAGGGACGCGCAGGCGACGACGCGGCGGCCCGCGTCGCGCGCGACGACGTGGCGCCGGAGCTTGCCCAGGCGCGCGAGCGGCCGGTCGGCGTCGGGGTCCTCGGAGCCCGTGGGCAGCGACGGCCCGTCGAACTTGACGGCGCTCTTCTGGACCGGGTTCAGCTGGACGTCGTGGGTGTCGAGGAACCGCTCCAGGTCGTCGACGTCCGCCGGGCCCGCGTAGGCGAGCTCGACGCCGGCGAGCTGGCGCGCGCAGGCTTTCGAGGCGCCGTCGACGCAGCACTTGCACATGAGCACCCAGCCGCCCCTGTTGTCTTGGCGCGGCTTCACGGGGCTGCCCTCCTCGAAGCCCGCGCCGACCTTGGTCTGGTCGATCACGGGGCAGAGCTGGGCTGCCATCGCGTTTTACTGGTGGGTTTTGTTGCAGTGCAACAAGAAGTCGTTTCGGTGCGTCGTCCAAATCGAGAGGGAGGTGGTGACTGGCTTCGCCGGTTTCTGACTGGCTTCGAAGCTGGTGACAGCGTAGGGGGGCTTCGAAGCCGGTCGAAGCTGGCCCTCAACTGGCGAAGCTGGTGCCCGCCGCGGCGTCACGGTCCTCCCTCCGTCCAAATCGAGAGGTCGGAGGGCGTCCCGGCGCGTCGTGCGCTCGTATGCTTCGCGTGCGCGGGCGGGGGGTTCCACGCGACGCGACGCGTGGCTTTCGAAGCGGACCCCCGCGATCGCGAGGCGACGCGGCGCGCCTTCGCAGAGCCTGGTGTTGTGCGCGCCTTACCAGAGCCTAGGCGCGCGCGCGCCGGCGCGCGCGCGCGTCGGCAGAGGTCGGGCGCGCTGCTTTGGTGCTTGGGGGGGCGGGGCGGCGGGGGCGGGCGGGGCGGACACAGGTTTTTTTCCACGAAGGAATCCACCCTAGGCCTCCTCGCACCACTTGTTCTCCTCGCGGACCTGGGCCTCCTCCTCGGGCGTGAAGTCGTTGACGATGTTGAAGGTCTTGCGGATCTCCTCGGGCGTCTTGCCCTTGATCATCGACGCGACGGTCGCGCACGTGAGGTCGAGGAGCGGCTTGATGTCCATGTAGTTGGCGGCGAGGATGAGCTCGAAGAGGAGCTCCTGGTCGACGTCGACGTAGTTGGCGTACCACTCCTGGACGACCTCGTGCATGTTCGCGGACTTGAGCGGCTTCTCGATCTCGGACATGGGCTCCTCGGCGTAGCGGCGGCAGAACTCGATGACCTTGGCGAGCACGTGGCTCTTGACGTTGGGCAGGGGGATCTCCTGGGCCTCCTCCTCCTCGTCGGCCTCCTCGGGGATCATGGTCTTGACGAGCTCGCTCATCTTGGCGACCTTGACCTCGACCTCGAACTGGTCGCCCTCCTGCGACATGAGGTTGACGCGGCGGTCGTCGTCGTCGTCGCCGCCCTCGGCCTCGACGGCGGGCGCCTCGTCCTTCTTCTCCTCGTCGGCGCCGCCGCGGAGGCGGAGCACGAGGTGGAGCGTGCTCTCCTTCTGGATGTTGTAGTCGCTGAGCGTGCGGCCGTCCTCGAGCTGCTTCCCCGCGAAGATCAATCGCTGCTGGTCCGGGGGGATGCCCTCCTTGTCCTGGATCTTCTGCTTCACGTTGTCGATGGTGTCGCTGGGCTCGACGTCGAGCGTGATC